CCAGAAGCGGGTGTGCCTCACACGTCCTGAAAAGTGAAGCTGCAGGCTCTTTGATCGCCCCCTGGTGGTTGACTGCAGTACAGGACATAAACCCCACCCTCTCCATGTAAACTAATGGGACTTGATAAGTCCCAAAATAAATTACACTTCCAATACAATAGGCCCTTTTCACATGACGTCAGTATCAGTAGAAACTGACGCGAAGCAGGGTATTCTTACTTCTGCCAGCATAGTAAAGCGCTATTGCTACCAGCATGGAGTTCACCCAGACGCTTGTACAACTGCCACAAATACGATTAGAGGATGACTGCTGCTGTCTATTCTCGTCCTCATTCAGGTAGAGGCGTCTGGCATCTCAAACGAACTTTCCGAATACCGATCGGCGAGATTTGCCGCTTGAAGTCGAGGGAGGAGTTGAAAACGGAACACTGCAGTCACTGATTCCCGCGACTCTCGCGCGTTTGCTGTCGTTATTGCAGTTAGATGAAGTTGGTTAGATATATTTCTCAAATAAACAAACATTTAAGACATTTACATGTGGTAACAGAAAGACTTTTCATTCAGTAATTTATGTCCTGCTTAATACAGCACCTGTATGTACAAGAATAGTTCAACATAACAAGCTTGTACTATTTAAAGCTGCAGTCCGTAACTTTTTTTTGTTAAAAATAATCCGAAATCAATATTTGAGCAAGTACATAACCAGCCTTTAGCCCGATTCACAACGGTTATCTTATAATAATGTTTTCTAATTTGAGTGGTACAGGTAGGTTTTCGCGGGAAATTCGAGCATGGCACTGTGTCATTACATCACTTCTGTAAACAAAGAAGTTGACCCAGCTACAAGGCTATCGCATGTGAGGATCCTGCAGATGTCCGATCGTTTATAACCTTTTCTCACAGCAGCTGGAATAATTAAATGTATCATTTTGATGGCGGATTGTAATCCAGAAAGAATTGTGTGTTTATGAAACATATGTTAATTAAATTAAATTATATTCCAGTTATAAATGTGCTTCTGATTACAGATAGCCTGGGATTACAAAGATTTGTATTTTAAAGAAAACCAGTTTGAAGGGAGCATAATTAGCTTTTTGGATTAAAATAATTTCTTAAAGGGGTCATATGATGCTTTTTTTTAAAGATCATTATTTTGTGTATTTGGTGTAACAGAATATGTTGACATGCTTTAATGTTCAAAAAACACATTATTTTTCAAATACTGTACATTATTGTAGGTCCTCTATGCCCCATCTCTCTCAAACGCTTCGTTTTCTACAAAGTCCCTCCTTCCGACAAGCGCAGTCTGCTCTGATTGGACAGCTGACCCAGTGCATTGTGATTGGCCGAACACCACAAGCACTCAGCTTACAATCAGCTTGTAACACTCCAAAGAGAAATGAAAACTTGAAATCGCATCATATGACCCATTTAATATGAAATTCGAAGAGTATGACAATTAGATTAGACTGTGCAGAAATTGAAATCTACACGCTAATACGCACTATACTCATAATCACCAATGCTGATGTTGTTAACATTAATCATTTGAGAATAAAGTATAACAATAATAATAATTTGAATAGTTCGATATGAAATGAGCTAACCGATCTTTAGATTTAATCACCATTGAGAGTGAGAGTAATGCTTTTTTTCCTCAGTTGGTCAGAACAAACGTGGCAGACTTGTTAATTGTTCAGATGGCAGTATACGGTGAAAATTCTTATTTGGGTCATATTCCAAGACGTAGGCTAGAATCTGTGATTGCGAAGAACAGTAAATATCTACACCGGTGCGGGGACTGACTGCCACACATACTTTTCAGAACATTTCATTCATCCGTGCTGGAGCCGTGCAGCCGCACAACCCACGCAAGCTAGATAATGCTGCAATTCCAGGTTTTCAAACAGAGATGGCGACAAAGAGGCAAAACTTATGGACTGCAGCTTTAAATATCAATAAAATGGGATCTATAATTTTCCGTTTTATTATTTAATGTAATTCAGAAATATTAAATGTATTAAGTTTATATAAAAAGCTTTTACAGTTAAAAACAGATAACAGCGTTTGTGTAAATAAATATAAAAAGTAGGTCATAGCTGTTTTTTTTAAAGATCACATTGCATAGCCTATAACGAAAATAAAATATGATTAAAAATTGTCATTTTAATCAATAATAATTCACAAAGTAAAAACACAGTATTCATGTAGTTAAAGCGAAATTTAATGGAGGAATTTAAGTAATCTAAATCACGTTGTCTTTTTATTGCCGAACTATACATGGAATTTAATTTACACAGTGTACTCACAAATTATCCAAGGAATGACATAAACCGAAAAAAGTGAGAAGGTTTCAATGTATTTTGTGTGGACACATAATCGTTGTCATACAAATCTGAAAGCAAGCAAGCCACCCATCTAAAGCAGATGCAGAAAACGTTCGCAAAAGAACCCGACTGTAAGCACATTAACATTATTAGTCTGAACTTCTAACTAACGCCTTTCATATTTCAAGTTTTTTCACATTTCCCCGAGAAGTCTCCGGTGTAAAGGCATAACGGAAGTACAGATACACTGCTTTGCGGGAAAGTGGAAGTTAGCTGACGTCACTGTGAAAAGGGTCTATTTTCCGAAAGATGGTTTTGGTCTTTTAAAGTAGTTGATATCACGCTGATATGTTCAATTCTTCATTTTGTGATAGGTTTGATTTTAGCTAGTAATTTAATGCTATAAAAATGGGCGTGTCGCATTGTTGATTGGGTCTGCGGGAGTTTGGGAGGGAGTTTGATACCACAGCTCCACCTCACGACACAACTGTGCAGACTCTGGCTCCAAACGAATCTCTACTGCGCGGACTCTGGCTCCAAATGACGTCATTTACTCAAGATGGCAGTGGCCATACTGAGATGCTTTGGCTTAACTTTTCTATAGTGGTAGGAAGTGGAGACGCGTCATCCATCTTTTTTTACAGTCTATGACCAGAAGTGGTTCATGGGTTCACTTTGAGATCAACACCCCCTAGTGGTGAACCATCAGAGTTTCGAAACAGTGTGACGTAACAAAGCTTCGTTTGCTAAAATCACGTGACCTGGCTGTGAACTGGTTTGATATGCGCTCCGAAACACTGACTCGAAACAAAAGATTCACAAATGTTTCGAAGCTTCGTGAAGCAGTGTTTCGAATGCGCCCATCACTAGTGTCAATACATTTAAGAAAAATAAAAGACATTTAAATCACCATTTTTGCTACCATTTTGCTGCACATTTGGCTCAGAGTGCATTTTGAAATTCACACTGCATTTTGCTACAATTATCACAATGAAAATGCAATCCCATGTGTCCTACCCGTAAGTCTAAATGCATTTAGGAAAAATGGCATTTAAATGATAATTTTGCTACAGTTTTTGCTTGGACATGTTAAACATATCTCATCAATTTGGGTAATACAATTTCATTTTAATTTTGAACATTAAAAAAACATTAAAATATGTTTTTAATTTACATATTTAAGGGGTCATATGATGCAAATACTGTCCATCGTTCCGACAAGCGCAGTCTGCTCTGATTGGCCAGCTGACCCAGTGCATTGTGAACACCGCAAGCACTCGTCGGAAATGTAACGCCCCTTACCATAATCGCGAGCTTCATCTTTCAAAGTAAATGTAAAGACAGAGCCCGAAAGGGGAACAGACTCGCGTGACAGACACAGTGATGAAGCTGGTATGTGTTTGCAGTACACAAGCCACGGTTAAGACAGCTGACTCCACTTTGATGTGACGCGCTCTCTCTCTCTTTCTCACACACGCACACGCACACACACACACGATGCGCAAAACTCCGCATTTGAACAGTCAATAGCAAATACTTAAACTAATAACAAAACAGCAGCTGATTCAGAAGCACCAGATTGTCATAGCAAAGTCAGAATTACCTCCTCTCCTAGGTTCACGAAACGGTCGTCCATAAAATGCATTGCTGTTCTGTTGTAAGTAATCTTAAAGATTTCTAAATGCATCTGCTTTCGGAAGGCCAAATAAAGTGCTTTTACTTTCGCCTAGAAACACCGTGTCTCCCTGACATGGCTGCGTCAACACTAACTGCAGTTACTGAAACCACGCCTTCTTTCTTTGCGTGCACATTTGGGCAGCATTATGCTAATATTTCCACATAGTGAGGTAGATATGTGGGGGCATGTTAGAACGAGCCGTTTTAGGGGGGCGTGGCAGAGTCTTAACTTTGATAAAGAATATCTCTTCGGTTTTGAGACTTTAGTCTTTGCAACTTCAGGGATCTTATCTATGCACAATCAGCTTGTAACACTCCAAAGAGAAAGGAAAACTTGAAATCGCATCATATGACCCCTTTAAAACTAGTGTAGGAAATGGCAAATGTAAATTATACAATTCAATTTTCATTTTGCACTAAATGTTGTACATATGTATAGGAAAATTTACAGAATTTACATCATACAGAGATACATTGCCATTTTACATATTGCATTGTCATTTTGCATATTACATTTCAAAATGAATTTTGCTACCCATATACTTCCATATTCTACAAAATTGTGGATTGCTCAGTAAATTGACATTTAATATTTTGGTTTTCATCACTATACATGTTTATCTTTTTCAGAAAAAAAAGATTTGACAATTAAAAATTTGAATGGGAATTTTCTAAAATTGGTTTGATTTGACACGGAATGACCCTGTTGTATGTTTTGCCAAGAGTAAAAGATCCCACAAAATATTGTAGTTACAGTAAGAGTGATCATTTGTGATGATGTTGTTCAGTCAAGTTGTTCAGGCTGTCTCATTCTTCATTGGTGTGTTCAAGGAATTTCAAGTCTTTATTCTATGATGTCATGGGTAATCCAAAAGAGGTGTGGTTTTGGTTGTCCATCTATTACTTTTTCGGTTTTTAACCCCTAAATTCAGGGGAAGTAACAGAAACCGCTGCATAAATGTTCTCAAAGTGTGGTTTCCTTTGCAATGTTTGCAGGTGAACTCAGAAGAACATGCTAATGCCGAGGGTGAGGCCACTGTGTGGACACGCATCATTCCTGAAGAAATTCTGGGAAAGGTCTCAGGGGTGAAGGAGGTTCCTGCAGAAAGGATCACAGTTTGGATTGATCCACTGGATGCCACTCAGGAATACACAGGTCTGGTGCAACTCTTTATTCCTAATGTAAATTAGTTGCCTTTTTAACTGCAAGCATTTCAGGAAAGAAGCAGGAAGAAATTGAATTTCTTGAATCACATTATTTATGTAGGTTATCTTTGTTTGAGTTGCATTTTTTTTTTAATTTGTAGTTTTATTTAGTAAGTTCTGCTGTTATAGTATGAGGAACAGTTTTATGTTTCTTCAGTGCAAAGGTGCTGTACCAGGATATAAATCCTGTTTGTGCTTTCAACAGAAAATCTCCAGAAGTATGTCACCACTATGGTGTGTGTGGCTGTGGACGGGGATCCTGTTATAGGCGTGATTCACAAACCCTTCACTGGGTACACAGGTGTGTTATTTTTAGGTTTATATGCAAAACCAGATTAGCAGGTGGCTTTGGATCCAGGAGGCATTTTGGGAGTGTAGTGATGTTCAGAGGAATAAATGATTTGTGGTTTTCACAGTAAATTTTTTGCAAATATTTTGTAAATTGGCAACAACAAATATGTGATTCTTTGAGAGGAATTACACAGTGTTTAATGATTAACATTACCAATGTGTAATGATTAAGTGTATTAACAATATATTAATATGAGACTTTAAATTAGCCAGTTACTATTATAATTTCTAGTGTCTTTAATGACAATTATAATGGTTCACTATTATCTATGAGGACAGTAATGGTCATTATACTTGCACTGTTCTGTTCTGACCTTGTGTTTTTAATGAATTCACACTGTGGTGCTCAAACGTGTGTTCTCATCCTCAGCATGGGGTTTTGTTGGAGAGGGATCCAATGTGGCACCTCGTGCTTCCTACAACACAAACGTTCCTAAGGTGATTGTTTCACGCTCACACTCAGGCAAGGTGAAGAGCTTTGTTCAGGTGGCCTTTGGCAACAATACGGAAATTATACCAGCAGGGGGTGCAGGTACTGCATTCTGTAAATCATCCCCTTTTGAAAAAAAAATGTTTTACAGTTTTTCTCAATCACTTTGGCTCAGTTCTCAAATGAGTTTTTTTTTTCTCAAAACAATAAGTTTCTTTTTCACATCAGATTTGAATTTCTTATTTAAGCAAATTGTGCGTGTTTTGGCATGTGTGCAAATGAGTAAGTGCAATTGTCTAAAATTTGCACAATAACTAAATGCACATGGCCTGTTATTCAAAACTGATGAGTTGATTCACTGTGAAATTGTCAAACTCTTCACAACTTCTAAATGGTCTTTCATTGTGTGAACCATCACATGCAAAATTATTTGTTCAATTATCAAAATCTATCAGACAAGCCCAGTCAAGTCACCTTTATTTATATAGCGCTTTTAACAATACAGATTGTCAAAGCAACTTTACAGCATTAAATAGGAAAATAGTGTGTCAATAATGCAAAATGACAATAGTAAACACTAAATTTTCAGTTAAAGGCAGTTCATCATTGAATTCAGTGATGTCATCGTCCAGCTCAGTTCAGTTTAAATAGTATCTGTGCAATCAAGTCGACCATATTGCTGGAAATTAAGTGTCCCCAACTAAGCAAGCCAGAAGCAACAGCGGCAAGGAACCAAAACTCCATCGGTGACAGAATGGAGAAAAAATCCTTGGGAGAAACCAGGCTCAGTCGGGGTCCAGTTGTCCTCTGGCCAGACGAAACCAGCAGTTCCATTCCAGGCTGCAGCAAAGTCTCATTGTGCAGAGGACTCAACTGGTTCCTGTGGTCTTGTCCCGGTGGCTGTCTAGGAGACAAGGTTTTCACTGGGGATCTGTCTCTGGGACACATCTAGTTGTCCTGATCTCCACTGACATTCAGGGCTGTCGAGGTCATATCTCCTAGGTGCTGGATACGTACTGGATCCGGGTGACTGCAGTGACCATCTGATCTGGATACAGACTGGATCTGGTGGCTACGGTGACCTCGGAATAAGAAAGAAACAGACTAATATTAGCGTAGATGCCATTCTTCTAACGATGTAGCAAGTGTATTGGGGGTTATGGGAAGTGTTCTCGGTTCCGGTTGTCCTAATTAATGCAGCCTAAAAATCCTTTAACGGATTTGAAGATTAGAAATGTGTTAGTGTGTTATGTGTAAACCAGGTTAAAGAGATGGGTCATTAATCTAGATTTAAACTGACAGAGTGTGTCTGCCTCCCAAACAATGTTAGGTAGGTTATTCCAGAGTTTGGGCACTAAATAGGAAAGGGATCTGCCGCTCGCAGTTGATTTTGATATTCTAGGTATTATCAAATTGCCAGAGTTTTGAGAATGCAGTAGGACTATAATGCAATAAGAGCTCATTCAAATACTGAGGTGCTAAACCATTCAGGGCTTTATAAGTAATAAGCAAGATTTTAAAATCTATACGATGTTTAATAGGGAGCCAGTGCAGTGTTGACAGAACTGGGCTAATCTGGTCATACTTCCTGGTTCTAGTAAGAACTCTAGCTGCTGCAATTTGGAGCATGGAAGCGTGCAGAACAACCACCCAATAAAGCATTACAATAATCTAACCTTGAGATCATGAACGCATTAATGAACATTTCTGCATTTGACATTGAAAGCATAGGTCATAATTTATATATATTTTTGAGATGGAAAAATGCAGTTTTACAAATGCTAGAAACGTAGCTTTCAAAGGAAAGATTGCTATCAAATAGCACACCTAGGTTCCTAACTGATGACGAAGAATTAACAGAGCAGCCATCAAGTGTTAGAGAGTGTTATAGGTTATTACATGCGGAGGTTTTAGGTCCTATAATTAACACCTCTTTTTTTCAGAATTTAGCAGTAAGAAATTACTCATCATCCAGTTTTTTATATCGACTATGCATTCCGTTTTTTTAAAATTGGTATGTTTAGCCGGGCTGCGAAGGAATATAGAGCGGAGTATCATCAGCATTCAGCATAACACCGTGTTTCCTGATGATATCTCCCAAGGGTAACATGTAAAGCGCGAAAAGTAACGACCCTAGTACTGAGCCTTGAGGTACTCCATACTGCACTTGTGATTGATATGATACCTCTTCATTCACTGCTACGAATTGATGGTGGTCAGATAAGTACGATTTGAACCATGCTAATGCACTTCCACTAATGCCAACAAAGTTTTCTAGTCTATTCAAAAGAATGTTGTGGTCAGTAGTGTCGATTGCAGTGCTAAGATCCAGTAGCACTAATAGAGAGATACAACTGCGATCAGATGATAAGAGCAGGTCATTTGTAACTCTATTGAGAGCAGTCTCAGTACTATGATACGGTCTAAATCCTGACTGGAAATCCTCACAGATACTGTTTTTCTCTAAGAAGGAATATAATTGTAAGTATGCAACCTTTTCTAGTATCTTGGACAAAAAAGGGAGATTTGAGATCAGTCTGTAATTAACTAGTTCTTTGGGGTCAAGTTGTGGTTTTTTGATGAGAGGCTTAATAACAGCGAGTTTGAAGGTTTTGGGGACATATCCTAATGACAATGATGAATTAATAATAGTCAGAAGAGGATCTATGACTTCTGGAAGCACCTCTTTTAGGAGCTTAGATGGAATAGGGTCTAACATACATGTTGTTGGTTTAGATGATTTAACAATTGTATTCAATTCTTCCTCTCCTATAGTAGAGAATGAGTGTAATTGTTCCTCAGGGGATCTATAGCACATAGATCCCCTGATCTATGATATATCTATCATAGATATAGATCTATGATGTGATACTGTAGCTGACGGCTGCATGGTTACAATTTTATCTCTAATAGTATTGATCTTGGAAGTAAAGTAGTTCATAAATTCATTGCTGCTGTGCTGTTGGGAAATGTCAACACCTGTTGATTCTTTATTTTTCGTTAATTTAGCCACTGTATTGAATAAATACCTAGGGTTATGTTTGTTATCTTCTAAAAGAGACGAAAGGTAATCAGATCTAGCAGTTTTTAATGCTTTTCTGTAGGATAGGGTAATTTCCCGCCAAGCAATATGAAATACCTCTAGTTTTGTTTTCCTCCAGCTGCGCTCCATTTTCCGGGCTGCTCTCTTTAGGGTGCGAGTGTGCTCATTATACCATGGTGTCAGACTGTTTTCCTTAAACTTCCTTAAACGTAAAGGAGCAACCGTATCTAAAATGCTAGAAAAGATTCTACCAAGTTCTACCATACTTGTGTCAAGGAGTAGAATTTACAGTTTTAGCTATATGAAGTTTGCACAAGACTAGATAATGATCTGAGATATCATCACTACATAATTTCAACACCATCAACATCAATTCCATGTGACAGTATTAAATCTGGAGTATGATTTCGACAATGAGTAGGTCCTGACACATGTTGTCTAACCCCAATAGAGTTGTTGCATTCCCAATGCATCTTTTTCATTATCAACATGGATATTAAAATCACCAACAATTAAAACTTTATCTGCAGCCAGCACTAACTCTGATATAAAATCAGCCAATTCTTTAATGAAGTCTGTATGGTGCCCTGGTGACCTGTATACAGTAGCCAGCACAAACATCACAGGGGATTTATCATTAAAGGGGTCATATGATGCGTTTTCAAAATTTTCCTTTCTCTTTGGAGTGTTACAAGCTCTTGGTGCATAAAGAAGATCTGTAAAGTTGCAAAGACTAAAGTCTCAAATCCAAAGAGATATTCTTTATAAAAGTTAAGACTTGTCCACGCCCTCCTATAACGCCTCGTTTAAACACGCCCCCACATGTCTACATCATGATGTGGGAAGATTTGCATAACACCGCCCAAATGTTCACGCAAAGAAAGAAGTTATAACTTTGATTCTCGCTGTAGTATTGTTGTTGCCGTGTGTTTCATTGTGAAAATGAAACTACTTTGTTTGGCCTTCCAAAAGAGGACACAACTAGAAATCAGTGGTTAAGTTGTATTTACAACACTGTTCCAGAACAGTTCAACCCAAATATTCAGATGTGTGAAGCACATTTTATGGAGGACTGTTTCCTGAACACATTTCATTACACCAAATACACAAAATAATGTTCTTTTTAGCAATATCATATGACCCCTTTAAAACTTGTTTCTCTGGATAATGTAATATGAAGCACCATTACTTCAAACGAGTTATACTTGAAGCCCGGCCCCTCTGAGAAATACTGAAAATATTGTTATAAATTTAGCCAGTCTGTCTGCTTCCTGACCTGGGCCCCAGTTAGTCAGGTGCAAACTCTTAAGACTATGTGCCATATTTCTAGAGAGAAGAGTGGCACCACCCCAGGAGGGATAAAGACCATCTCTTTTCAACAGATGAGGTCTGCCCCAAAAACTTGTCCAATTGTCTATGAAACCTATGTTATTCTGCGGGCACCACTTAGACATCCAGCCATTGAGTGATGACAGTCTGCTATGCATCTCATCACCACGGTAAGCAGGGAGGGGACCAGAGCATATTACAGTGTCTGACATCGTACTTGCAAGTTCACACTTTAATGTTATTTTTAGTGATCTCCGACTGGCAAAGTCGAACATCATTAGCGCCAGTGTGAATAACAATCTTACTAAATTTACGTTTAGCATTAGCCAGCACTTTTACATTTGCCAAGATGTCAGGCGTTCTGGCTCCTGGTAAACATTGGACTATGGTGGCTGGTGTCTCTATTTTCACATTCCGTAGAATAGAATCGCCAATAACTAGAGCACTTTCATCAGGTTTCTCAGTGGGTGCGTCACTGAGTGGGGAGAACCTGTTTGATGTTTTGATCGGAATGGATCAGCGGTGTTTCGACCCACGACTATGTCAACCAGTCGCCCTGCTGCAGAGGCATTGTAACCGGAACCAAACAATGTACAAGACTCCCTGAGCTAGTCGCATCCAAAGATGTATCTAGAGCCCTCACATTCTTACTATCCTCAATTAAAGTTTGGATGCATGTCTCTAATTCAGAAATTTTCTCTGTCAGCCTAACTATTTCCCTGGATTTATCACATGTGAATCCCTCGTCGCCGACAGAGAGAGCTAAACTATACATGTGGCAAGCGGTGCAAACAACAATAGCAGGAGAAGAAGCCATTACTCGGCCAAATCAGATTAGTTTGATTGATAAAATATAACTTAATTCCCACCATATTTCTAATATTATCTCTTTAAACAACAGAGAGTGATCGTAAGAGATAGAGATCTGTAGAGATTCAACAGAAAAGCGAAGCTACACGGAGCTACAGTCGCAAGCCACTCAGCAGCACGGCAGACAGGAACCGGAAGACAAGCGTGTAAATTCCTTAAATATCAGACATGGAATGGTTGCTAAGTTAGCAAATGGCTTGCAAAGGGATGGAACATTTCCTGAAAGTTTTCAGATTTTTTGGAAAATTGTGAACTTTTTTGGACACTTTTGGGAAAAAATGTGTACATTTTCAGAAAATTTTGGAAAGTTTCCAGAAAATCACTGGAAAGTTTCTGCTCCTTTGAAACCCTACTTGCCATTTTAATGAAATGGAGATCACAATCATGCTAATCAATCAAGTTTGGAAGCAGCATATATATATATATATATATATATATATATATATATATATATATATATATAATGTATATATATAGTTTGCCCAGCACAATCACTATCATTTTTTTTAACGAGGATGAACGTCACAACCCTAAACAGCTGCAGCAGTGCTGTATAAATACATTTAAATTTGTACAGTAAATTTGTATTATATGTAAACTGTGAACATTGAGCGCATTTACATGCACGTTCTTAAGCCGATTATGCTTAATAAGCTGAAGTGTGCATATGTGATACATGACAGGAACACATTGTTATTGCAGATTTAAAGGGATAGTTCACCAGAAATTTAAATTCGGTCATTAATTACTCACCCTCATGTCGTTCCAAACCCGTAAGACCTTCGTTCATCTTCGGAACACAAATTAAGATATTTTTGATGGAATCTGAGAGCTCTCTGACCCTCCATAGACAGATATTACCATGATCAACGCACAGAAACATAGCAAGGACATCATTAAAATAGTCCATGTGACATCAGGGGTTCAACCTTAATTTTATGAAGCTACGAGAATACTTTTTGTGCATTGTTTACGATTAGCATGCGCCGCTGTCTACTGAACGTGAACAATGCTTATTACGTTCTGGGGTACTCTCCAAAATGGTGGAAGACGGTAAAGAAAAATTGCTGAATTGTTATTATTGTTTTCTTTGTGCACAAAAAGTATTCTCGTAGCTTTGTAAAATTACGGTTGAACCCGATGTCACATGGACTATTTTACCGATGTACTTGCTACGTTTCTGTGAGTTGATTGTGGCAATATCATTGATTCCATCAAAAATATCTTAATTTGTGTTCTGAAGATGAACAAAGGTCTTACGGGTTTGGAACGACATGAAGGTGAGTAATTAATGATAGAATTTTCATTTTTGGGTGAACGAACCCTTTAAGCACATTTAGACCGCAAACGTTTTGCAGTAAAGAAAGAAGGAAAAATATCACAAATGCATACTCATTTATGACTCAGAAAATGATACAAATGTGTTCTCATCTCATGCTGCATTTATAACTGCATGAGGATAATAATATATGAGCTGTAAGTTTCCAGCTGACATGTTGCAAGCTTTATTTAACAACACAACTGACAATACTCTTGCGTCAGATACGCAAATGATTATATTTTGATGTCACTACAGGGAAATTAATGAAGTCATGTAAACTCAGTTTACTTGCATTGTCAGGTTACTGATGTTCATGTAAACGGGGAAAAATGGTTATTTTAATAAGCTGATATTTGTGAGTCATCAGCTTACTGGTATGCATGTAAATGCACTCATTCACATTTACTTGTTGTGGAAGAGCAATAGGAAGATATGTAAGAATGTGTGGTGGTGTTGGTGTAAGGGGAAGACAACAGAGTGTGTAAAAATGAATAAGCAATGGTGAAATTTCAGTTTGTGACTTTTCCCTCTACATTTTTACCTACTGTTGAAGTATTTATCTAAAATGCTCAGTGTGACAAAACTGAAATTTTTGTATAGTATAGAAAGCAGTCTGTGAAAAAAGTAGAATAAAATGCATATAACAAATATGAAATTAAATTGTATATAACAAAAGGAAATTTTCTTGTTTTTTCACCATTTATTTGTTATATGCAAAATATATCTAAACATTTTGACCAGTGTGGCTCAATGACAAAAACGCTTTTTATTTAGGTGACACTGACACAATAACTAGGTTTTGAAGCATGAATTAAATGTTTTGGGTGAGTTACTACCTTTTCCAGACATGCAATAGCGTTCTGATTTCGTTTCGAAAAATGTGCCAAAGCAGTTGAGAAAAACTGTACATTGTCATTCAAATGTTTGGGGTCAGTAAGATTTTAATTGAACTAAAGTGACAGTAAAGACATTTTAATGTTATCAAAAAAAAAAAAAAAAAAAAAAAAAAAAATTATACAGAAAAACTGTACATTGTCATTCAAATGTTTGGGGTAAGTAAGATTTTAATTGAACTAAAGTAAAAGAAAAGACTTTTAATTGTAATAAAAAAAAAAAAAAAAAAATCATATAATGTTCTTTTGAACTTTATAATATCAAAAAGTCCTGAAAAACTATCATTCCTTCCACAAAATATTGATCAGCACAACTGTTTTTACAATTGGGAATAATAATAAGTGTTTCTTTAGCATCAAATCAATATATTCGATTTTTTTTTTTTTTTAAGGATCATGTGACACTGGAGTAATGGTTACTGAAAATTTAGCTTTGCCATCACATGAACACATTACATTTTAAAAATATACTGCAATATAAACATTTATTTAAAATTGTAAAAATATTTCACATGATTCGTTTTACTGCATTTATGAATAAATCATCACAGTCTTGCTGAGTGTAAGAGACTTCTTTCAAAAACATTCAAAAATCAACCCCAAACATTTGACTCTAGTGTATCTTGGGAACATTATTTTTGTTGTTGCAATATTAATAACAATGAATCTCCATACTTATTTGCTGATATTAATATTTATGCTACAAAACATTTTTTTTATGTATATTGTTTGGTTGGTTGGTAATAAGTACTTTTTCAAGACATTTAAATGAAATGTACATGGCACCCTACTATTGAATATACATATTCACAGAGATACAGAAGTAAATATTTGGCTATTGCAATTTCTAATGTAGACTGCAGCAGGGGAAATACAACTGCAACCTTTGTGCTTTTTTCCCCCAAAGGATATAAGGTACTAGCTCTTCTAGACCCCACTGATGAAGAACAAGAGACAGCCGATATTTACATCCATGTGACGTACATCAAAAAATGGGATATCTGTGCGGGTGATGCCATCTTGAGGTCTCTTGGTGGTCAAATGACAACTCTCAAAGGAGAGAAGATTGATTACTCTGGGACAGAGGGAAACAAGGGCGGCCTACTGGCGAGCATTAAAACTGACCACAAGGCACTGGTGAAAAGACTTCCACCCTGGGAAGAGAGCAAACAATAATAAATCACTGCCCGGTCCTGTCCCTAACACTCATTTTCTTCGGTACCACAAAGTTGTGTAGAAATATGAGAAAATAAAGATTTGCTTGTGACACTAGGTGACTGATCCAACATCAGTGAATGAGTGAATATGAGTGAGTTTGAAAACTGTTACAGGTTATAAACAAAGGAAGTGTGCCTTTGGGTTGTACAGGTCATTAGCTATGTACACTAAAAAATCCTCGTAACAAATTGCATGAACACATTTTAAGTAAATCTTACAAGTTTTTTTTTCTTTTTCAAAGTAAGTTTTACTGCTCTAATATCAAGTAGAACTTACTCGCTATTATTAAGTAAAATCTACTTACTAAACTTAACATTCATGAAGAAATTAAATCTAATTGCACCCTAATTAAGTAAATATGACTTAATTATATTTAATTTGAAAGTTGTGTTTAAAGTAAGTAAAGTTTATTTATTATTTTATAGACAGGAACCTTGCATTTATCCAAATATTAAGTAAATCCTACTATTTACTATAGTAAATAAGTAGATTTAATTATATATGTTTTGTTCGAGATGTCCCATTTAGTTTTATGAATATATATTACTCCCTATGATTATGTAAATATTGCAAATATCTTTTTGATTAATATAACCACATAAACTATTCATTTTGACTATACCTGGGGTTCTCAACTCTGGCCCTCGAGGTCCAATTTCTTGCAGAGTTTAGCTCTAACCCTAATCAAACACACCTGAACAAGCTCATCAAGGTCTTTAGGATTACTAGAAAGTTAAAGGTTTCTAAACTCTGCAGGGACATGAACCTCGAGCATGAGAACCTGGTCTATTGAAAATAGAAAAAAATAAAGTATGACTGAATGCTACTTCAAGTGTCGGCTGTTCTGTAATACAATTCAATCTCCATTACCAACATGAACTGCATTTGCTGCACCATACACAGTTTCGACCCCAGGAGGTATAAAATATATATTAAAAAAATATTTAACAAACAGAACAAGATGAGGTTTTAACCTGACAGAGCTAGGTAGTATTGATATAACCAAAACTGCATCTAACATAAAAACCATCAGTCTGTCTTCCTCCCCACACCTCAAGTGTCCACTGTATTGGCTTGTCGTCAGAGTTAGGTCACCCTGTAAATAAACAGGCACGATTTGTGATATTAAAACAATGATCTAAAACATTTAACCACAATTTTATATTATGCAGTGAAGAATAGGTAAAAATAACAACAGTAATGTTATATCATGCAAATCTATGCATATATTTATACTTGCCTGAATATGAGAATTAGACCAATCACTCCTTCTGTATGCTCATTAACTTACACTCCGGCTTATTCTGCAGTGAATCCGAAACCTTCATGTTGATAGAAACATTTGTTCATAAGACTTGGCTTTTTAACCAACAAATTACAGATGGTTTGAGCAAAAGAAAAGATTTAACTGACAAGACTGGACTGGAATTAACTATAATTAAGTTGAATACCATCATAAAGAAGCGTAAAAACACTTTACGAACACTTTTTGTCGTATAAAACATAATCGCTGGCGGCAACAGGTGCTTTAGGGTTAAGTACTATGGTAACTTAGCATAGCGAAAAAACACGACACGAGATTACTACAATGTTATTGCTCTGAACTCTTATTATGTCAGTCGAGGTTTGAAATAACAGAAACTAGCATTATGCTAAATTATGCGATTGTTTTAATTTAGTAACGAGGTTAGCTAGCTAGCAGTTACAATGTTAAATAATTTCCAGTAATTTCCAATTGTGCTCAAGTTTTTACGCGAAAAACAGCTTTGTGAATCTCTGAACTATTGAAAACATTTTCGCTGAAATATCACTCACTGTAACCGCACCAAGTTAACTTTAATAAGGTTATGTGATTAATATGAACGTCAATGTATAATGAGTCAAGCAAACAAGAATCAAACTATCAAAATGCACACGGACCAAAGTATTACAAATCAGAAATCTAAAACAAAGGCAAACTTACCTTAAACACGAGGAAAATCCAGCCCTGCATCTCCTCCACGACAAGCCCGACCGTCCCTCTCCCGAGTCAAAGCGCGGGTCAAACACGCATGTGCGGATTCAAGCGCGCTGAGCTTTTAGATTAAAATGTACTCAATATTTCTAAATGTATGTGCAGTGACTATAAAACATGTAAATATTACAAGTAAATATTAATAAGAGTTACTCTTCTCACACAGTTCATTAGTTACATGAATTAAATATGTACATTTTACTTAGAAAATTGTTCTCCTTGATTTGTAATATTACAAGTAGAATTTATGATGATTAATATATTTTACAACAACACAAACTTTTTTCAGTGTATTTTTTGACACATTTAAAGAATGTTTAAGTGAAAATGAAGTGAACCAGTAGCTTTATTTGATTTCTTGTTTGTTTTTTGAGAGTGTTGTTTCAAAAATGGATGGTAAAACCAGGTTTAAATGGTTTTGGGTTAAGATTTAACTGTGAATACAGAGATAACTTGAATATGACATCCTTGTGCATAGCACCACTTCTCATAATTATCTACACTGTTCCCCTTGGTGGTGTGTTTTCAGTTTTGTGTGTCAGATTTCAATTTGTAAGGTTACACTGATACCTGAATTGCAGTATGATTAGACTACATAGGTTTAAGCACCACGTGTAAATAAAAATAAATAAAACAGTATGTTAAGATATAAGTCTTATTTTGTTTTTAAGAAAATTTGGATAGAACGTAAAATTGGATTAAATGGAGCAGATCCACAGACATCACTGGGTGATTCATTCACATCTGTTGTAGAGCTTTTCACTGTGATTGCCAATAATAATAATAAAAAAAAAGTATTTTTATATGAGTATTCATACCCTTGCTATGATTGTTTGTTGAGTGCCTACGGATAGTCATGGTACTGTTTCTTCTGACAAAACCTTGTGTGCATGAAAAAAAGGAGAAAGAATAAAAGCAGTAATGTGGGGAAAGCTGCATGTGCCATTTTACAGATCTTGTCTGAGATTTTAGGCATGTAATTTGGCTTCACATTGATAGATGTCTTCATTCTGCCTTTTTTCTGCATAAATAAAGATTATGGGTTTTATGGAGTGAACCTTCTTCCTCCCCCCCCCCCCCCCCCCCTTTTTTTTGGTGCAATAGCATATACAGCTGTGAAAATGGTTAGTAAATCTAAATCTAAAACCTTATAAAATGTAACTTATTTGAAATAAACATTAACTGAAATAAAATGTTATATATATATATATATATATATATATATATAAATTCAGCTAGTTGCCAAGGCAATTTTTCTGAATTTAATTTAACTTGAATTTAACCTACTAAAATAAAACTGAAAACAACAAAATGACTAAAACTTGAACTACAAGAGCATCAGTTTGTCCACCACAAGGTGGCAGGATAGTTTTATCTTGTCTTTTTATACACGCTGTAGAGCAAGGACTTGTATTTCATATGTTCATATAAAAAGTATAATATATAACAAAAACTTATGTTTTTATGATCATGGAGCCATATTTAGTTTCTTGACCAGCATAAACTGTTTTGCGGATGCATTTTAAAACATAAATCAGAGTGTGGAGTGACACCGCAGGCAGTGAAACTGAGCCACTCAATTTCTGTTTTCCTGTTTCCACACCATCATACTCTTGTAGCTTTAAATGAGTTGTCCAGCACCTCACAGCTAGCTATGCCACACTGTCTTTCTACAATCCTCACGTTTTTATTTCTGCAGACATCTTCAATTATCACAGCATGCCATTCTAGCCCTCTGTGACTAAACTCCAGTGTCAATGAACCCCCTGCAATGATGTAGAATTAGAGAAAAGTCATGTCAATCGCCTGAGATGGCTTTTATCGAAGAAAGAGCAACTCCATATTTACAGTAGGTCAATCGGTGGGATAGATTAATGTTTAAAATAAAAGTTTGACCTTATTACAAAAAGTAGGCCTGTTGTTTAATAATATGGCATGTATATGCTTCCTCCTCATCAAAAACACAACTGGCTGCTAATTCTTGCCATGATCAGCATATTTATGGATTATTGCATTATTCATAATTACTATCTATTACCATCTCACTGGTCTAATTGATGTGTTGCTAAAAGGCTTGCTGCCATTTCTGTGATGTGCTAAAGGGAATTGCACTTAAAGGGGTCATATGATGCTTTTTTAAAGATAATTATTTTGTGTATTTGGTGTAACAGAATATGTTGACATGCTTTAATGTTCAAAAAACACATTCTTTTTAAAATACTGTACATTATTGTAGGTCCTCTATGCCCCGCCTCTCTCAAACGCTTCGTTTTCTACAAAGTCCCTCCTTCCGACAAGTAGGTCTGCTCTGATTGGCCAGCTGACACAGTGCATTGTGATTGGCTGAACACCGCAAGCACTCGTCGGAAATGTAACGCCCCTTACCATAATCACGTGACAGAAAAAAAAAATTTTTTTTTAAATTTTTTACAAGAACACGTTCAATTTATCTAGGAAATTTTATTTTTTACTAAGCATTCTCTTATTTTTGCTTTTTTATGTATTTTACTGAAATTATTTTATTGTGTTCAAATATGAAAATCATTCTAAGAAAAATTTCACTTTTTTTAACTATGGCAATCTAAATAAAACTGAAATATCACAAACCAATTCATGATTTGTACTTTTAAAATGATTTATATACATTTTTACACAAATTACAGTTGAAAAATTTTTTTTTTTTTAATTTTTTAAAAAATATTTTATGAAAAGTTGCCATATTTGCTTTACTGACACATATGTCAGTAAAGAGTTTAAGATGAATGCCAGGGTCTGGGAAGACAACAAAGAAAATAGTTAATATCACTTGCAGACAGGGGTGCCATGAAGAGTTTTAAGGGGGTATGCATGACAGAAATTTGGGCGCCCTTCTTCCAGATGAATGTTTTTTTTTTCATGTTTAACACTTAATAAGAAATTGAAAGAAACTCTGGCAGATCCCATGTAGGGACGGTGATGGGGCAAGGTGGGTTGAGCCTCCTAGACCCCTTCAAAAAACGAACAACTAGGTTGTTCTTGCCCACCGATTGGCCAGCTATAGGAGCGTGAGAGGCTGCTATGGCTGCTACATAGACCTTGAGCATGGAAGGGGAACGACCCTTATCCAGCAGCTCTTGCAGGAAGGACAATATCAGAGATATGTTGCAGGAAATATCATTTCAGAAATTTCATATCAGAAAGAGCACAGGCAGACAGCGCTAGAAACTGCTAATGCTTATCAGTAAATCAGTAGAAAATGAATAGAAATGACGATTCTGTCTGAGCTAGGTGATTCTGCCACACGCACTAGTGTAAATGTAGCAGATGTGACAGATGTGTAAACG